TCTTTTATAAAAACAAAAGAAATGTATGTCAAAATAAATGGCAGCTAGTAATAAAAAAATCAAATTGTAATCATGAACTCAAACAAAAAAAAAGTTGAACAAAGTGCAATCTTAGAGAAAATAGTATTTGGGTTAAAACTCTCCACAAACCATTTTCTCTTCTAGTTAGTATATATCTAGTTGTTTTTAAACTGTGGCCATAGATATTTTAGCCTAAATCAATTTGACAGCAGTTCATTTCTCATTGACTGTGTGATGCATGATGACGCATTTTTATAACTCGTGTTTTTCTGAAATAATGCTGCTTTAAGAAGCTACTCTTGTTAATAGCAGGTAAAAATCTGTAAAAACACAAATGGGTTCATGGATCATTTAATTGGTAAAAAGGAAATGACAGTTGTCTATAATCTGTCAGAACCTTAGTGTACACAGTGATTAAAAAAAAAACTACTGTATGTTGACATCACACTTTGCCTGCTTCAGCTGTTCCTAACACAGCCCTTACTATATATGGCTACTTCTCTGCAAATTTAATAAATAATGAACATGCCATTTCCTTCTGCGGACTGTGGGGAATACCATAGATACCATGTTTTTTTTTTTTCAAGTTTGTTTACAGAGACATCAGTTTGATAAATATGAGTGTATCCGTATCAGAGTTGAGTATAAGCATTACTCAGCTGTACTTTCATTTCAGGGGGGTGTAGTGAGGAGTGACACAAGGCGACATGGTGGATTACTACAACATCCTGGGTGTGTCCAGAACAGCCACTCAGGACGACATCAAGAAAGCGTGAGTATTTTGAGATTCATTTAAGGCTTACGAATCGTCATCGTCATCATAAACAACAAAGAAACGTTTTGCTCAGGTAGAAAATTTAGTAGTCTTTCTGAAAATGTGTTTTGAAGTGTAACTTGTGTAAAATTTCCAGGTTATAGAAGCTTTGAAAAAACTGAGGTTGCTTCAGAATTGAGTTTATTAGTTATATGTCTGGATTTTAGATAGAAGACAAATAGAATGTGTCCGTTTTTGTCTATTTCATTATATCTAAGAAACAAACAAACTAAAATAACATAAAAAAATGAGACCATAGTATTAGTGTGTATCTTTGTTTACTTGTATGAGCTAATGTTTGTAGCTATGTTTCTGTTTGTGTTGTGTGTTCAGGTACAGAAAACTGGCCCTGAAATGGCATCCTGATAAAAATCTAGACAACAAGGAGGAAGCAGAGAGAAAGTTCAAAGAGCTGGCAGAGGCCTATGAAGTCCTATCTGACAGTAAGTCACAGCACTATGTATGTTTATATAACATACTGTACATAACATTTGATTCCATCAATAAATTGTACTTTTCCTTTTCTACAGAGAGTAGGCGTGATGCATATGACAGATGTGGAAATGACAGAATGCGACAGACAGGTAAATGAAACCTTTCTGGGAGCTACTGAGATATTGTTGCGTCCTTTTTAATAATAGCTTGGAACATTTTACAGCTCAGGAACACATGTTGATGTTGATGTTGACCTCTACTAGCTAAATTTCAGAATGGATAGTGTGTTAGAAATGGGTTTTTCTCCATCTCTTTCTTGTGTTTTACCTTTCGCTTCTGTCTTTGGCTATCATTATCCTTCCACCTCATTTCTGTCTTCTCTTTCCTGTTTTCTTTTTTCTCCTTGCTCACTCTCCCCTCGTTGCGGCCCTCACTATAATGATCTCTTTGCACTTTTTGTCCTCCCTGTTTGCTCTTAATCCATCTGACGCTGCCACCTTCATTTCCCAGGTTCATCCAGCTCGGGCTTTTCATCAGATTTCCCAGGATTCACCTTCACATTCCGCAGTCCTGATGAGGTGTTCAGAGAGTTTTTCGGTGGTCAGGATCCCTTCGCTAGTTTCTTTGGTAAGTCATAAATGATATAGAAACCCTGTGGGGTGCTATCAGCATATTAATCAATTTTTCCATGAACACTGGCTGTTTCACATTGAGAACTACATTTTCTACAGTTTACATTAGGAAAGGTGATAATAGATAGTGTAATCAAAGAAATTGTTTTTATATCCTAGCAGTTATAGAAAATTAGACGATTTTTATTCTCAATGGACAAGTGTTAATGATTTTAGGAGTCTGTTCATCCTACTTTGAAAGTCAGCATTTTTCTAATTATTGACTTGTGATGTAATAATTACACACAGAGATAAAAAACCTGCTGTATTATTACACCGTACCTATCAAACAATGTCTTTGACTAATGCTTTTCCTCTTATTCAGATGACTTCTCATCGTTTGGAGGCTCTTCCTCTCGGCTTGGCCCCAGTCGGGTCCATTCTTTTCCATCAACTGGAGGTAAACACTTACATACTTAAGGCAGAATACATTATCCTCTCGCTGTGTAATTAAATACCATGGCATATCATATTGTGGGCACAATATTAAAAGCACTAGTATATATTTTCACTTACTGCTTTCTACAGTAATGAGTAATGTCTTTGCACAGACATGGGTACTGTAATGATACAGCAAAGTGAATCAATCTCTGCTCTTGTCTTCTCTTCTACCTTTTTTTCTTTGATTCTATAGTTCAGTTTACCTCCTTCTCCTCTTCTTTTGGTGGTCTGAACAGCATGGACAGCATGATTGGAGGGATGGGCAACTTCAGATCAGTTTCTACCTCCACTCGTATCATAAATGGCAAACGTACCACCACCAAGAAGTATGTAAAAAAGAAAAGCTAACCAACCTAGGATATATGAAGGTTTTATTGGCCAACAGATTTAAAGTGATCTTGATATGACAAGCCTCATTCCACATAGACTGAAACAGATATTATAGTAATGTTAGTTTACAGCTTTATATGGTAGTTACAAATCTGCACACTACTCATGTATTTCTAGTTCTTTATCTTGCCTAGGGTGTGAAAGGATTTTTATGCACATGCTATATAACTGGGAACCTGAAACTACAAGACAAGTTTAACAGTTTGAACTATTTCATTGTTAATCTTATGTTTTAGGTTTTATATGAAAGCAACTATTTTCTTGTTTAGGATTTTATGTGACTGACTTAATTCTATATATTTGATAAATTACAAAGTATGCAGGGTTCCCATGCATCCTGGAAAACCTGGACTATTTAAACCAGTTTTCCAGTCATAGAAAAGTCACGGAAATTGAGATAAATTGTACAGTGTCCTGGTAAAACACTTTGTCATCCTGGAAAATAATTCTCACAGAAAGTAAAGCTCCCACATTTCTTGTAGGATAATAAGAGTCATACACTGAGGGACTGAACATTTGTGTGTGTTTGGGAGAGTGCGACAGTCATCAATAATCAATCGGTCACAAAGCACCTAAGGACTAGTTATATAGATAAAGTGGGGGGTTTTCAACAGGCTGTGAGCCAGGGACCGCCTGTGACTATGAAACATTCTGAGTGCAACTGGCTTTTCTAACTTTTATATATTTGCATGAATTTCATTATTCACCGATATAATTAACACACGAGAATGTGTTTAAAAAAAAAAAAAAAAAACAATAAATTGTCATTCCCATAGGGAAATTACATGGTCATAGACCACCTGCGATGCCTTCACAGACCACCAGGGGGAGGACCACAGGTTGAAAACCACTGAGATAAAGTGTCATCATGGATTAATACATATGATTGAAAAGAGACTTCCACATAGAGGCACTTGTTGGTCTAGGACGTGATCCCCATTTGACATCACAGCCTTGTGTCATTTGGAATTTTCCTGGAAAACTATTTCTTAAAAAGAGTGGGAACCCTGGTATGTCAGGTACAGCTGTTATATGTCAATGTCACTTGCGGCTTTTTCCCGTTAGGGGTCCCCACAGCAAATTGTCACACTGACTATTCGCATGTTGACATTTGGCACATGTTTTACGCCAGATGCCCTTCCTGACGCAAGCCTGACCCCAACCCGGGCCGCAGTGGTGGGAGCACTGCGCCCTAACCACTAGTCTATCAGGGAACCTTGGGTACAGCTATTATGATAGTCCTCACAAATTAGGTTGTCTACAACCCTAGACCAACCTTGGGTACAGCTATTATGATAGTCATTACAAATTAGATCGTCTACAACCCTAGACTGGTATTATTACTGTAATCAAATGCCACATGAATATTTAAGCAAGTCATTTAGTTTATGATCTTATACAGTGACTTTCATGAGGTTGAGGATGCATTTGTCTGATAAGAGAAAGTGTTTCAGTGATAACAATTATCTACATATTTGCCTTTACAGGATAAAGGAGAACGGGCAGGAAAGAATAGAAATCGAGGAGGATGGGGTGTTAAAGAGAGTCTTAATTAATGGTAAGACTGGTGAAATGGAGGAATTTGAAGACAACCTTTTGTCTTATGTAATATTTGCATAAACCTATGTTTTGTGAAAAGAAATTCAATGGTTTCACACTATTGTAGTGCTTCCACAAAAGAAGTAATCAGTCAAGCAGCACAAGTCCACTATAGTTTTAACTGAATATCACAAATTTACCTAAACTGGTACCACAAGAATTACATTTGATTATGAAAAAAATGTTATAAGGTTTTAAATAGCGGATAACAGTATTAGATATTGGTAATAAAGTTCTCTATAGTATCTAACTCTTGTTGCTCCTGTTAGTCGTGCATTTGTGTATACTATGCTATTTCATGTTGCTTGTGTACAAACACCTGTGTTGCTGTGTCTGTTGTCCTCAGATGTGGAAGATGAAATGGCCCTCGCTCTGGAGCTGAGCCGTCGAGAAGGACAGTCCCCTTCGAAGCCAGGAATCCAAAACAGATCACCAGCTGAGGTCAACAGATCCCATCCCAGCCCTTATTCTGCAGCCACACATCGGTCATTTAGTTCTGCCCCCTTCTACAACTGTGGTGGGACTGTGGCAGGCAGTGAGGATGATGAAGATGATGAAGACCTGCAGATGGCTTTGGCATGCAGCCTATCAGAAATGGAAGCACAGCAGAGAGCAGCTACCGACTTCATATCAGGTGCTGGGGGCAGGGGCAGAGCTATGAGTGGCAAAACTGGTGGCCATAGAGGAGGCAGGGTTGTTAAGATAAATTTAAATGCTCCTGGTAATGTAAAGGTTATCACAGAGGAGAAAGCTGAAGAGGGGCAATGTACAGGGCTTGAAGATAGGTGCGGTAAGGAAACCAGGGGACCAGGCTTCTCTCCTGAGTCATCCACAACAACTAACACACCACTCAGGCAGAGCAGTGAAGAAGAACCTGACATAAAAATTAATGAAGGCAATGTGAAAAAGAAAGAGTGCTCCTGTATTGTGTGCTGATACAGCCTGTGTGCATATTTGGGATGCCTTAATCTTTATACTTACCTCAGTGTTTTGCCTACAGCAGACTCTAATATATTGTGGTTGCCAGACTCATCATTTGAGGTAGTGCCTCACCAAATCACAAACACTTTCACGCAGGCTTAACACCTCTAAAAGAGATACCGAACTTTAACAGGGTTTGTGGTTTCCTTTGTACAGTATTGTTCAAAATAATAGCAGTACAATGTGACTAACCAGAATAATCCAGGTTTTTAGTACATTTTTTATTGCTACATGGCAAACAAGTTACCAGTAGGTGCAGTAGATTCTCAGAAAGCAAACAAGACCCAGCATTCATGATATGCACGCTCTTAAGGCTGTGCAATTGGGCAATTAGTTGAAAGGGGTGTGTTCAAAAAAATAGCAGTGTCTGCCGTTGACTGTACAAACACAAAACTATGTTGTACAAACGTTTTTGTTTTCATGGATCAGTTTGCATATGTCAAAATACTTGAAGAGGTCATGTTGCCTTATGCTGAAGAGGACATGCCCTTGAAATGGTTGTTTCAACAAGACAATGACCCCAAACACACTAGTAAACGAGCAAAGTGTTGGTTCCAAACCAACAAAATTAATGTTATGGAGTGGCCAGCCCAATCCCCGGACCTTAATCCAATCGAGAACTTGTGGGGTGATATCAAAAATGCTGTTTCTGAAGCAAAACCAAGAAATGTAAATGAATTGTGGAATGTTGTTAAAGAATCATGGAGTGGAATAACAGCTGAAAGGTGCCACAAGTTGGTTGACTCCATGCCACACAGATGTGAAGCAGTTATAAAAAACTGTGGTCATACAACTAAATATTAGTTTAGTGATTCACAGGATTGCTAAATCCTAGAAACAAAAACGTTTGTACAAAATAGTTTTGTGTTTGTACAGTCAACGGCAGACACTGCTATTTTTTTGAACACACCCCTTTCAACTAATTGCCCAATTGCACAGCCTTAAGAGCGTGCATATCATGAATGCTGGGTCTTGTTTGCTTTCTGAGAATCTACTGCACCTACTGGTAACTTGTTTGCCATGTAGCAATAAAAAATATACTAAAAACCTGGATTATTCTGCTTAGTCACATTGTACTGCTATTATTTTGAACAATACTGTAGATAGCTGAGCCAGATTTCCATGTAATCTGCCAATAGAGCAAACACTAAACTGTTTTTTTTTAGGCATGTGACATGCTACAGAGGATTATTATGAATGTGTGTAAATGTGCCAATTTCAGTATTTATACTGCACTTCAGATTGAAAGGAGAGGAATTGAGAGGGGTTTAGAGGTGGCCAAGTTGGTAGGGATTTTAATCTCAGCTAAACCAGCGTGTTTCCTGCACACAAATGTTTGTGTATGTGTGCGCTCGTGTGTGCATGGTTTTAAATGTGTGTTTGAGACCCTGCCATAGAATTTTCTCATTCAGACTCTGTGGCAAAGGGAATATTTATCAGAACTGTGTCACACTCCGTCCAATCTGAAACAATAGATCAAAAGTTTAAATTTGCCACAGAACCTTATGTGGTGATTTTTTTCATCGTCTGCTGATTACTAAAATACATAAAGCAAAAAGTATGTAGTTAAATAAAGCACACATTTTGCAAATACAGTTGCTGTGTAAAAGCATATAGGCTGTCAAAGCATAGAGCTCATCTATCATTACATCATGTTTTACAAGGATATTATCATTATCTTTAGGCTGACTGTAGTTTGGGAACAGCACTTCATGAAGTTGGAAGGCAAAGTACGATGCTGAATGTGTACAGTATTGTGTGTCATAAAATAGTTTGCTACACTACCGATGAAACATTTTAGATCACCCCCATTTTCCCAAGTCTTTAGTGACATTTAAGCAGTTTAAGTCTAGTGAATAACCCCAAAGCTAAGAAGTAACCCCCCCACCCCCCACCCCAAAGTCACCACAAAGTAAAAATGTTTGTGTGCAGCCCTGGAAATGAAAACAAAAAACCCAGCGGTTGAGCTCCAGAGCTACTCTTCAGCTCATCTGTCCAGGGCGTAGGTGTGCTACAGTATGTTGACAGAGAGAGAGAGAGAGTGTGTGTGTGTGTGTGTGTGTGTGTGTGTGTGTGTGTGAGAGAGAGAGACAGGGAGAGAAATGAGTTGTTGGTTGCTGAGTTACTATGGTGCCTTGTGAAAACAAAGACAATCAGTCCGATTTTTGAGGCTAAAACAGCCTGTGAGCCACACTACAACACATACACACACACACACATGCACCCACCCACAGAGCCAAACACACATTAATAGTGGAATGCAATAAGTGTTTGATTGTTGCTGTATCTGTAACATAATGCTGAAAGTAAAGACATTTTGTCGGTGCCAAACACAAAAGTGTTAAATATAACTACTACTAGTAATCTGTTCAATAATTTTTTACTGATGTTCAGAGGTACAGTATAGCTGTCTAAGTATTTTCCTGCAGGCAGTGGTCCTTTCCCTGTTTTATTTTGATGCTGCTCTTCAGCAGTATTTGGTAGTCATATACATTTCTTGAGCACTTTTGATTTATTTATCATTGATTGAGTTTTTGCTTTCATATAAAAGGAAAATGATCACTGACAAAAATTAAGCACAGTTATAAAGACACATTATTAGTTTAAACAAACTAATGTTTACTCTGATTTGTTAATCATGTATCCTCTCCAGCCTGGAGAATCAATGAGAGAGAAAGAATCAGATGGGATGTCTTATAAATATATAATATACAGTATATCAGCCTGTGTTGCTTGTACTACATTGAACTGCCATGTGTTGTTTTTTTAATTGTTAAAGGAAAAATAACAAATAAAGACTGAACCAATTAATGATTGGGATATTTGATTTTTTTCAGAATAGGGCAGTAACATTCATGCATTTCCACTGATTTCATGTTTTATCTACTACTAGTAGTAATATAAGATGTAAGATTTCCTCCTGGTTCTCTGGAGGTCGGTTGTCTTTTCCCTTGTGCATGTGCAACCTTTTCTCCTTTGATTTGCTTTTATCTGTGTGTATGTTCTTGTTTTCATATCTAGTAAAACATCGTTTTAAATTAAGCGTGAGTCTGTTGGTCGTGTCTTACACGTCGTGCTTCCTGTTTCAGACTCAGACTTCGAGGCCTTCACAAGCTAACCTGATTGACTCATGCTGCTCTGTGCCCTAACCCTGCCCTGAGGTAAAGAACCAGTATGAATCTCAGGCACATTGAAAATTGTTCATTTATTCCTTTTCTTGCTCCCTTCTGTAGATTAGATCAAATGATGAAGTCCCCATCTTTTGTAGAAGTATTTTTTACTCTGTTTGCCTCTTTTATACCTCTTTGCAGTACTGATCAAGTGTAACATGTCCTTGTACATCTATTCTTACAGGTCAAAGGTCAGTTCCCTATGATGCACTTGTCTCTGCCCACCATGGCTCCTACCTGCTGAATGACACAAAATAAACACAAATGTGTGTTTTACATGACTGTGTGTGTGTATAACTCAGTGTGGAGAAACAGACTGGAAACTTTGTACTTTGAAAGCAAGGAAATAGTTCTAATGATCTCTGCATTAAACAGTGACATCCCACTGTATATTAATGAATTTTGTCATGGGAAATCGGGTACGCTGTGCTGTACATGTTATTGTATACAGCGTAGGAAATAATTATCACAAAACAGTTTTCTCTGCGAGTGGACAATGCATAAGGCAAAAAGAATTATTTTAAAACATTAAAAAAGAGAAAGCATTTCATGCTGATTACTCTGAATAAGCACATGTTGATGATGTTTTTTTGTTTTTGAAATTTGAATGTGTTAATTTCATCTCAGTAGATAAATATATTAGAACCTCTTTAAAATGTACCATGCAATGCTTTGAAATAAAATGTACTATAAAGCACACAGACTAAATGACGCCGTGGAATTTTAAAAGTTAATTCTAATGATAGAACATGAGCAAACACTTTTTTGTTCATTTTCTGCTGCATCACATCACAGATTTATTCAGGTCAAGTCAAAAATACATTTTTAAAGATATTTTCCATGTGTCTGCTACATGAAGTAAACACTCATCAGGAGGATTATATACATTAATCACGAGGTCGTACACTGATCAAGACACCCGGAGAACCCAAACAAAGGTTATCTGTGTGTAGAAGTATGAAAGGAAGCGATGTGTATGCGGACATTGTACACCACCGTTGCTTAAAGCAATCACATTGTCAAAGAAATTACTCTCACAAATAAAAACTTGCTGGAATTCAACACACACTAAACAGTGGCATACAGCATTCTGGTAGATGCGTAACAGCATGTTCAGAGTTAAATGTATTGACCTCCTACTGTGCATCAATAAGATGGACGTCACAGAAATTTAACATTATTTTAACATCGGTCCAAAACAATTGTAATGTTTAAAATAAACAGCCAAACAACCCCTCTATGTTGGTGGTAAATCATCATTTGAGGTATTGTATGTCACCATGCTCAGTAAAAGGGTTGATAAGATGGAATCAGATGGCAGTAAGACTGGTACTGTGAGTAGTTACACATCAGTACTGTCATTCCAGACATTCAGAAGTGTATTCTCTCTTCTCTGACCATACAACAAATCAATTGCCTCTATACTGAGACAAAAGTTAATGTGCATACTCCATTCAGACTTACATACCGTAGGCACAGTGTATGTACATTTTTACTCTTTTCGTTTCACATTTCATGGCTCCTTGTCTAATTAGGTAGAAATTTCAGGGTGCAAGGACAGGGATTGAAGTTGTGCCATAATGCTGGGAAAAAAAAATCCTTTCACTTTATATTGTATTTACATCCTGCCAAAAATCATTAAATTCTCTTCAGAAAATGAAGTTCCAAAAGTTTAAAAACCCAGTTAATGAGTAGACAGTACAATACTGCATGCTGAAAATGAGGGCAGTAGTTGCTCTTACTGTGGTAAGAGCAAATTGTTATTTACACATGGCCAGACATACATGACTGGATCACACAAGTGTGTCCTTAGGAGAGTGTATGTTTTTTGTGTATGTGTGCATGTCCTCACTGTGTCCTCAACCACTTCACTGTGGCAGGGCCTTCAAGATGGCGTTCACCTCCTCAGCTACTGCTGTCAACGCAAACTCAAACTGGTCCTAAGTAGTAAGGGGGAGAGAAAAAGGGATAAATTAGAAGAGAGCAAATAGGACAGAGGGAGAATTGGATTATGACGGATGTTCACTCTAGATACCAGGAAAAAATGCTTGAATTCTGGACACACACAAATGCACAGTGATCTTTGGTACCTTGGTGCGGACCAGGCCAGGTCTCTGGTCTCTAATGTGCTCCAGTGCGGCTGCGATGTCGATCTCCTTCACTCCTAATGACAACGACAGTAACAGTGTCACAACCACAGTTTTTGAGGTTGCACACTGGGAATACACAAGTTAAGACCCTTTACCCTAAATCCCCTCAACCTATAAGAAGGTAGATAAAACATGAGTTTCCATCTGTTGCATTTTGTAATGCAAATGCATTTTCTAAGAGAGGTTTTCAACATCTTTCTTCAGCTCCATGATAAATCAAATCATATCTTTTTAGGTACAGATTCCACCGCACTCAGGAAAAATCAGTGCAGTGTCCCAGTAGTGTTATCCAACAACTGCAAATTAGGTTTGTGTTCGGTGGCAAGAAAACACTTTATCTTTCAAAAAGACAGAAGGTTTTTGGCCGTACGGCCATCATTGGTGTCACGGTCTCACAGTACAGCTGATTCTTTAAACATTGCATACACTGCTTTATGAACAACTACGTGCCTTATGTTTGCAATACTAAACTCAAAAATATCTATATTTTTATTCCATATTTGTTATATAGACCCGTGGAAACACTGATTCTATCTTGTACATGTATGACGTTGATGCAGCTAAATTAGAAAGCCCATTATTTGGCTAAATTTGAACATATTGTCACTTTTACCTGTGTTCTAAGAACTGTCTGCTTTGTTCATGATTACTCAGACAGGTGCAGGCTGATTAACTGAAGAGGCTTCACCTGTATGTATTTAGTTGTAGTGTGTGAGATGGTGACACTGATGAAAACTTTGTCTTCTCGTCATTGAATGTGATACTAATTTACAATTATTAAAAATATAGAAATAAATAAAACTGAACTTCCAGATCTGTAAACAAGACAACAAAAAATGTAATATTTCATCACACATTTGATAGTTTTTTTGGTAACTTTCCCTTTTAATCCATTTTGCAAAACAAACCCCATGAATAATTCATAAAAATCAGATGTGGAATAATAATTCAATGTCAGTGTTCCTTATAATAATAATGTAAGGGCTAGACCTGATTATGTACAGTGCTCTGAGACAACTGATGTGAACTGGCACTATACAAATAAATTGAACTCTGGCCTTTCATTATCTTTTTGCTCATCTTGGATCAACTGTGGGCTCCATGTTTAAATGTTTAGGTGTTAAATGATACTGTATGTATATATATATATGTGATGAATTGCTCACCCTTGGCCATACGATTCAACACCATATCAATGAGGATGTATGTGCCAGTCCTGCCAGTACCATCACTGTGGGAGTGACAGAGACACAAAATGAAACTGTCAAAGCACGCATGATCTACTGGTTTGTTTTTTCTCAACCCGCTCTTCAAACAGGACATTCATATTGTAGGATTCTACAAATTCTGCACCAGTATCTTTCTATTCTTCTTTTTTTACCTGCAGTGAACAATGATTGGGCAGGATCGGCCTCTGTAGCATTTATTCACCTTCCTGAAAAGCAGGAGCAAGAGACAGCAGAGAAAGAAAGGAAAACAAAGGACAGGGAAAGGCCTTTATTATAAAATACTGATTACAATCTTTGCAGTTGCAACTGACCTTTATCATAAATTCAGTTAACATACAGAAATAACATCTAGACAGTAATAAGGAGATAAGTAAATGCACCTAACACAGAATAAAAGTCTCTTATGCAGCTTAAGGTACTGTAGCTGTGGGCTGTGGTTAAATTCAAGATAATGAAATGAAAGCAGTTAGTGATCCTGTAGGAAGAATAAGGGATGGGAAAACATGTAAATGACAGATAAAAAAAATACGATTATGAGTGAGGGAAAGACTCGGGACAGGAAAAATAGACATTTCATGAGAATGTGGAGGACAGTGCGATGGGAAAACAGGAGAGAAAGCCACAGATTCACTGTCCCTCTTGCAGTAGCCAGTCACACCTGCCAATGCTCATTTTTGTGACTATGCAACTGGAGCCAGAGTACTAGCTGCAAACCACAAAAATGACACTGGGAGATGTTAAAATACAAACCTATCAACCTGCACACTGAGAGAGAGGGAGAGAGAGGAAAAGAGCACTAAGACGATGGATAAGGCATAAAATGAAGAGCATGGATGCCTTATTTGATTATGTGCAGTGCAAAATGACAGCAAGGGTGGTAGACAAAGAAAAGAGATGGATGTGATGAAAACGATCTGGTGGAATCAAACCTGCTAATATGTCAGGTGACCATTGAATCCCACTGACATGTCATTTTGTGTTTACTTACTGAAAATGATTGAAGCTTGTGGCTCCTGTTGGAATCAGAGTCGCATGTAGAGTTGCCTGTGTATATGTGTGTGTGTTTGTAATTGTGAAGTTTCTTACCTGCGGAAGTCCAGCAGCGCCCATGTGGAGGTGGGTATACCCTCAGCCGGCCAGCTCAGCAGGTGAAACTGGGTCAAGGTTCTGGTCTCCTGCGTCTGGACGTTCTTCAGGTAGAAGCTGCGCACCAGGAAGTCCTTACACCAGATGTGCTCTGATACCAGGTTCACCTGAAAAATACAAAGAGACAGGAAGGGAAAGGCAGAGAGGAAGGGGTGGCAGACAGATGAAATGGAGAAAAGAGGGGGAAATGTGTGACTTTATTGCCAGGGAGAGGCAGTCTGTCCAGTGAATCTCACAACTTCCCATACATTTAAAGACGTTTTGTCAAACATCAGTGTGCACAACAAGAAGGCTGTACTCAGATAAACAATTAGAGCTTGAACTACAATTACGTGATCACATGGTACAAAATAACACTCATTATCCCAAAATGTTTTAGTATATAAAACACGTTCATTTTTGCCTTCGTTCCTTGTTGCAATGCCATTAAATAAACCTAAAACGTTCAAAATTAGAGAAAAAAAAATCATAGAGGCGGTAAATGATGGCAAGCAAAACTGACACTAGGGGGAGACATAACATCACACAGGGAATGAGTTGACATTTTTGCTTTTATTTGAAGGGTTTTCATTTGCGGTTCTGATGCTGCTGTGATGCTCTCAAATGTAAGTGCGCAGTGTTTTGCAGTCCAGACCACATGTGCCACGGCTGAGCCAATACACAAAATTGGTGCTGCAAGTGATCACACTGCTCACAGGAGCAGAATAAAACTGAGCCAAATGATTGTGTGGCCCTAGTTTCAGTCTGTAAAAAGATTAGGAATTTGCAGAAGAAAATTAGAGATACATATACATTACTACCTTCTGTGTACTGCACCTCCAACAACAGAATGCTAATTTGTGTTAATTCTGAGAAAACTTACAAGTCTGACATTTCAATTATCTGTTTATTTTATTTATTTGGATTTTTTTTCCAAAATTCTGTTTTTTGAGTAATCTTAAAATTCTGTGTCTGCAGTATAAACAAAGACATTAAAAGGCAGGGAAGCACTGTACTCAGTGTTTGTTCTGTGCTATATTTTGAAATAAAAGTCATGAGTTACAACAGGAAATTAACCTCATAGATGTGGTAGAGTGATGAGCCCTCATCAGGCCAGTATCGCTCACACTGCTTCGCTCCATCTTCCACCAGGGCTGTCATCATCACTATCACTGTGCAGCCATTCTCCCACACCATCTGTGAATTGGATAGAGCGAGCACACACAGGTGTAGACACAGACAGACACACATTCAACTGTCACAATAAAGTCAATCTGTGACATCTGGCAATAACAAGGCAGATTTCCTGTAAATGGACGCAATGGTCCAGTGGCTTACAGTGTTTTATTATGTCTGTGTATCACTGCACACAGTGCTAATTCAATTAATCAGGTGGAAGACACAATGTTGAAACTAGGCAGGAAAAGAAAGCTGAGGAAAGACTGCACTGACCTGCCAGAAATCAGCAATAGTGTGTGGCAGAGGTCCCTGGGTGGCAATATATGATGGCTGGCGAGGGTCATGATCAAACTGTTGGTTAGAAAAAAATGTGAGCAGTTCCCTATGGTTTTAATGTGCATTAGGCAGGAAAATAATCCAACCATAGCTGTTTATCTAAATCTTCATATTGGATTAGGGGATAAATCATCGTGTTTATATTCCTAATTATGAATATTATCACATACTGTAAAGTTTTTCATTTGTTTGAAGAATTCTTACAATGATGCTAGCATTAATGTAATCTTGTTTATTGGGGTTTACTTCAGCCTTCAGCTTCACCCGAGAGTGATCATCTGGAAAAACAACAGGCACAAAAGATGAATTAGTCAGCTAATGAAATAATGAAGGATTGCTTAAAAACTCATGATTCTGTATTAGCAAGCATGACACATTTATAAACTAACAGGGGAGGGAATCAGCGTGTCTGTTTTTGTCCATGTTGCTCGGGGCATCAGCCACAGCTACTGAACTGGGTTCAGCCTGATAGGAGCACAAAGCCTCCCACTCCTTCTGAAGGCGGTCCTTATTACGCAGGTGATCCTCCATATACGCCTGAGGGAGAGACAGCACATAAGACATTACTGTAATATTTGTTCAATAACAGGAGAATCCCTTGACATTGTTTCTCCACTATAACTTTATCTTCACTCACCAGTATCATGTGACCAGTGGAGATATCCATATTAGACTGGGCCGGCTCTTCGCTCCAGGACGGGGTGGAGCTGTGGGTGGAGGATGGACTGTGCTGGGGGCCATCACTGAACTGAGAGGAAACGCTGCTGACGTGGGATGTGTCCGTACCCCTTCGTCTGCCGGCTCCTGCTATGGCTGACCCCGGCATGCTACCTCCCACCCCGCCCACACAGTCTTGGCGGCACAGAGAGGATTTTGATGCCATGTGTTGCCGACACAACTCCTGAACAGGGAGGAGGGAGATGCAGAATGGCAAAAGAAAAATCAATTAATAAGAAAGAGTCATTTTGTGTGATACACTAAATATCAAAAGCAATGTATGTACAAATGTATGGCAAAAGAAAAATCAATTAATAAGAAAGAGTCATTTTGTGTGATACACTAAATATCAAAAGCAATGTATGTACAAATGTATGGCAAAACCTTACTTAATGGAGCTGTAAACAGGAAATGTTTAGTTTTGCATTATAAGTGATTAAAGTGACTTTTTAAAAAAATATATTAGAATTAGAATTACAACTGCGAGGCTTTATATATTTTTCTCAGCCCTGAGTCTCTCTCTGTTGCCTTACCTGGTAGTCAAAGTGCGTTTCGGCTCCTCCCTCTGGACCCAGGCCAAGCTTGCCATTGGCCACTTGCTGAGTGTAGTGCCTGAGACAAGCCACAGCCATGGCCAATACCAGCACACCTCCTACAACTGCCATGGAAACAAGAGTGATGACTGTCCCGCTGGGCCCCTGTGAAACCCTGGTTACCTGAGGGAGACCCCGTGCATCCGTCCTCTGAGAAAAAGACAATAATAAAGTGTAGTGAGAATGGGCAGACTTGAAAAGAATACAGGGAAAACACATTATTATCTTATCCAAGTGCTGCCTGTATCTTGATAACAGTTATCTGTGGTAGAAGGTTGGCGGAACCTTTGACGGACTGCTGTTTCCTGCGGTAAACCGTATTCATTTCCTGTTTTCTGTATTTGCACTGCATTGTGCTTGCTTCCAGATTGTTTAGGAATTAAACTCACTATTTTCTAGGTTCATCTGAATTTTTGAGTGACAACATACGCTTGCACCACTTAAAGCACTTGTTTTGCAGACGTTCTTGCTAACTACCAAATTTAACTTGCTACTTTAGGTCGGCTAGTTTAGAAGCTAGCTAAGCTAGTAGCTTAATC